TTAGAATTTTGTTTTGGCCGAAGTTTCAGTTTCAATGTATAAGTTATACTGACTGATTGCAAGTTTGCTTCTAAAGTAAGTCAGATTGAAAAGTGCAATATCTTACTGCTGAGATGTAGTAGTGTAGAGATGAACTGCACAAACTGAAACATTCCAATAAAGTATAAGCACTAAATTTCTCACTTGTACCAAGTAACTCAATTTGTGCTGAATAGGCAAAGGATTATCTGTCTCTCACAAAACCATGCAGGCCATCTGTCCATGACAGCAGAGATGAGTGGCTCATCACCAATGATCTCCTTTCTCCGCTGTGAGAATGTTGCAAGCATCAGTTCGTCCAGAAGCTGTGAATCTGGGTCCCTCTTCTGCACTTCCAGAAGCATGGTCTCACGATCCTTCTCTGATTTAACGGTCGTCTGTCCCTCAGGCGGCTCTGGCAGGTCGTGGATCTCTCCTTTTTTTGACTTCTTGATTGGCTTGCACTTTTCCTCTCCTCTTTTTCTTTTATTTACAAGAATTTCGGGGCATCCAGCTGCCTCATTCTCTGACGGTAATTGCCCATCTTAAATCTTAAACTAAATACCCAGCAATACCATCCTTTACCTGACCCTGGCTCGCTGAGACACGGGTTCTTTGCAACAAGAGCTTTGGCTACACTTTCATAGTGGTCTGCGTTGGGATAGGCTGTGATTTTGGACATGATATCAACAAGTCTGTCCAGTATTTCACTCTTCACACCCTTTGAGATGACCATCACAGTTCCATCCTGGGCATAGGCATCATTTGCGGCCCTCAGCTGAAACTCAATATCATGGGAGAAAGCTGGAATAACAAAGGGGTCAGGCCGTTCTGTTGAATCGCAACTACTTGGAGATCCAAAGCTTACAGTATCTAGTGTTGAGTCAGAAATCCCTTCATAAGATGTGAACAAAACTTTGAGTGTGGCTCGTTCATTTGGTAGCTCCTTAATGTCAAATTGTAGAGCTGATTCCCAAAGTCTGGATCTTCAAACTGTAAAACGAAGTTGAACCCAAAGTGTTGCGCAGTTTTACACACAGCTCATCAACTGATGGGGGAACATCCTCTAGGGTGACACGCCTTATTTCTTCATGTAACCTTGTGGCTTGGTCAACACACAGGGGCTTCAATTAATGAGGCCACAACGGTCAATGTGGGTCAATCTGCCATTTATTATACAAATAAAATTCTAAAAGAACACAGTATGAAGGAAGAGAGGACAGACAGTCATATCACGGCTGGGAGACCAACCACTCACTGCCTAGGACACTGGGAGG